GGTTTGTTCCACACCACATGCACCTTGGTGCTTGTTGACCTTATCCCTTGTTTGACTAAACATGGGAAGGTGTGGTGTTGGGTGGGGTTGGAGCTGAGGCAACACGCCTACCACGCTCAGACCTACTATTCTCTGCAAACCTCAAACTCTGCTGGTGCAGCCCCTTCTGCTTCTCTTCCTCATTCCACTCAGCTCCATAGTAAAACTCTTCCGTCGATTTCACGACATCTTTTGAAGGCGGAAGGAACATGCTCCCCCACTGAGGGAAGTGTACCAAAGTCACTGGAAGTGTGCAGCACACGATCATTACCCCCATTAGAGACAACCCTGTCGCAGTTGAGAATGCTGAGCTTGAGAAGAACACTAGTTGGGTCAGCCCGGACCCGAAGTTCCCACCCGCTCCAGTGAGGCCCGATATGATGCCGAGGGATCGCCGGGAGATGAAGGGGATGATGCCAAAGGTGGCTCCGCATGCAGCTTGGGCTCCTACAGAGAAGAGGATCATGGCGAATACCGCAATGGGGAGTGAGTTTGCTCGGCCGAGCCAGATGCAGAAGACTCCTCCTAGTGTTTGGAGGATCCAAAGAGTCCATAGCCTGCCCCTCATGCCAAAGTACCTGGCTGCTCTATCAGAAGCAAATCCTCCAAAGGGACGGGCCACTAGGTTGGCCATGCCAAATGTTGCAGCAATGATTCCAGCTGTGTGAAGCTTGAGATTGAACCTGTTTGATTAAAGGACATTTGAAATTAATGCCAACTCTCTCAAAATAATTCGTTGTTCAAACATACAGATATGTTGGATTGGAAATTCTCAATCTATAGTCTTTTGAACTGATCTTATTTAAATGTGTGGTCCAGATTGACAGTTTGACAACATAACATGTTAAATATTTAAAACGAAATATTTTGCTAACCAATGTTGTTAACAACATTATATTCTTGTGGTGAGACCCTATACAGTATGTGGGTCGGTTGTAAAACATGTGATCAACAAGCATAGTAAAAATCATTATACTCTTCAAAAATTAAAAGAAGAAAAAAATGAAGGACAAACCTGTCATAGAAGTATTCAGCAATGACATTATCAGTGGACAATTCAACACCCATGGAGTAGCCATAGAGAAGGACAAAGATCCATGTCCTGTAGTTTGTTATAGCATGCCACAACACCTGAACAATATTCAAATTGGAGGGGAGGAACATCAATCAGCTTATTAATCTGTATAAATATTCGTGGATATTTGAAAGTCATGAATAAATAAACAAAGATAAGGCCTTAAAATTAAAGAAAACTGACCTTGGAGAATTGATCTTTGGCAACATCACCCTTCTTTTGCAGGGCAGCAAGATTCCCATCAGGCAAGTCTTGGCCAAGGGTCAAGACCATTATTCCCATAATGATATGAAGCCAGCCAGGAATGAAAAAGGCAATTCTCCAAGCAGTGAAAGGAGTTGCTCCAACTCTTCCAATTATATCAAACACCAATGGCATCAAGAGCTGGGTGGCCCCACCACCCATGTTTCCCCACCCAGCAGCTGTCCCATTAACCAGCCCAATAATCTTACTGTTAAACATGGTGCTCATCCAATACTGGCATGACACGAATGTAGCAAGAGAAAAACCAATCATGAATCTCACTGCTAAGTAGCCCCCAGCATCAGATACAAATGACATGCAAAACACAGTGGGTGCGCTGAGCATTATGAGAAACGCACACCCATATCGTGGTCCTAGCAAATCACACACCGCACCCATTACAAGTCTTGAGAATATGCTGCCCGAGACAGAGGCAACCCCAGCATTTCCAATGTCTTGCTTTGTGAGGTTGAGGTTGTCTCGGATTATAGGGACAAGTGGAGCTGCTGCAAAAGTTGAGACAAAGCAAGTGAAGAAGGAGATCCAAGACAAGTGGAAGGTTCTCATGTGAGGGTTGGCCAAAGAGAAGAGTTTGAAAACTTTGGCCTTGTGCTCTGAATCAACTGGTAGATCAAATTTGGCTGTTGGGTCTGTTGGAACAATGGGGGAAGCTACTGAGAAAGCAAAGGTTTGCTCTCTGCCTGTCACTCCATGCATGGAGCTTCCGGGTTCACCTTCGACTTCGGCCATTATTCGGGGTTTTGAATTTGGGATTTGGAGTTTGGATTTTGAAGCTCGAGTTTCAAAACTCAGAAACTGATCGGGTTTAGAAACTACTTAGACTGAATGAAGTTATGGGGTTGTGTGGGGAAGGTAGATGGGAGTGTGGCATTTATATAGGGCTTGGAGCTGACATTTTGTGAAGGGTTATGAAGAGGCAATAAATATTCTCAACATTTTGGTTATGCATTTTGCCGCATATCTGATGTGAAGAGGAAAAGTCTCATCGTATATCCCAAGGGATCACATTAACCTTCCTAATGGGCCACCAGCAGGTTAATTAACTGGTAGCCGCATATAGTTAGGATAATTAAATATTAATTAGGTCAATGAACCCTGATTAACTCGGCTTGGGATTTGTACACATTGCACGTTCCTTGACCATTGTAAAATGGAAATGGTTACCATTAATGACATACAGATTTATATTGTTTGAGCTAAAGTATATAGACCCAACTATATAAGGCCACCATTAATGATGTGATCAACAATGTTGTAAATAAATATGTAGTTTTATATTGTTTTGTATGTGCCGACTTGTAATAAAATAACATTTGAAAACATTGTGAGTTTCTTTGAAAGTGTTTAGGAAACCGTCACATTTAAATAACTCTTTTATTAGTAAGCCCCTCCACTAGAAGCTCATAAAAGATAAACAAATAAGCTCTGCAAGTCTTCTCTAACTAACAAGAAAAACTTATATTTACCTAAAGAGAAATGCTAATGGGACTTGCTCACATGGACTTGATGATCGTGTTTATTGAAGTGAGCCAAACTTAACATTAATTCTCAAAGTGTCAGCAAGTTCACGTAAAAACTCTATTTTGAGCAAGTTCTATTATAGCATTTCTCTTATTTCAATCCAAATAGTATCAAGAACACTCTTAATTATTATTATTATTATTATTTTAAATGCAACATTCAAAGATGTCATCATAATTCACAATCTCACAATATAACATACAAAAAGTTTGACAATACGAAACCATTACGTGTATGTATATCGAATAATATTATCTTATCAAATAGTTTAACATACATATATATTATAGTGTCGGACGTTAATCTGAACCATTATCACATTGACACACAGATGTTTGTACCAATAATTCATCGCAAGTCTACGACAATCAACTAGCCAAACCGCAATTATTTTAAGCAAATATGTCGTGCAATTTGAAAGTCAATCAAGGGGCAATGGGAGGGATGATATATAACTATTATCATATAATAGTTATCTTATTAAGGTGCCATTGTGCCTCTACTCGTTATTATATATTAACCATATTTTTTTAGATATTTATAAAAATACTCAATCATAGACATGTATTTATAAAAATACCCAAGCACTATTTAAACATAAAAACATACCCAAAATGGGTTTTGGGTATGTGTGTAATAATGGGTTTTGGGTATGTTTATAAATGGGTTTTGAGTGTGTGTAATGATGAGTTTTGGGTATGTTTATAAAGTGTTTTGGGTGTTGGGTATTTTTATAATTTCAGCCCCCATTTTGGGTATTTTAGTGAAACTCCCTTATTAAAATGTCATTCTCAGGTGACAGGTCAAATGGTACCTCTTTTATAATCACAGACTATAGCCTTTTCTTTTCTCATTATCAATCGTTTGCTTGTTGTAATGGTTGATTGATAATATGTGATATATATATATATATACACACACATAAAACTGGATACTTAACCTTTCACTTGATCATAGAGTTCTTTGTGAATTGTTTTTGGAGGAGATTTGGACAACATGACTTGGTATTTGTGGTTGGAGGGAGCCTTTTATGATTTGTTTAAGAGCTACAAAAACAAGTGTGTTTGCTGACATAATTGTAAGACCTTTTGTATTTTGATAAGAACTCTGATAAGTCCATGTATGTATTGGTCAGATCCTTACAAGGACAAAGGATAGATAAGAATGCTAGCAGGTGCCTGTGTTGGTTTCCATTCTGGATAACTTTTAAAATCATGTGAGTTGATATATTTATATAGCTTTTTTTATTATATGTATACACATGGAGCTTCAACTGAGGGATCTCTCTAATAAACTTATTTGAGGGACACCCTTATTCCGTATTGTATTTCACTAATCCAAAACGTGTATTTTGTAGATACTCATTCAAAGATCATCTTTGCAAAAAAATCACTTGAATATGATATCATTTGACCACACAATTGAATTATTGAAAATTTAGTACTTTCATGAAGTACCGTGTTCATTGATTTTGTAGGACACAATTAGATATCGAAACGGTTTTTGATTTGTCTAATGTTTTGCAAGGATGATCTATGAATGTAGACTTAAAAAATTGATGATTTGGATCGTTGAAAAAAAATGCATAGGATACTCTAAAGGGCGTCCCTCAAATAAAATTATTTGAGGGATCCCTCAAGAGAAGGGGACTATATATATATATTGAGAGAATGAGGAATCAAACCTAGAACCTTAAATGCATGAACATGGTAAATGCTCTTAACCACTTAAGCTTTTGTTAAATAAGGAAACAATGAAACATATGAATGTATGCTTTTGCCAATTATCTTGAGGATATGGCATGGGAAGCTAATGCATTCTTAACCTCGAGTGCACATTCATTTGTGTTCATTTTAGTATATTGCAAAAGCACACATGCATGACCATCCAATTTGTACATTTCTAAATTCATCTCAAACATTCATACCTAATAATCCAAACCCATTCATAGTGTATATAGTATAATAGTCCCTCTTATTCCCACCCATTTAGGAAAGATAAGTACTGACCGTACGAGCTGACTGGAGAAGATTACCTAAATAATTGGAGAACAAAATAATCAATTAAATTATATGCTTGGGATATAAGTACACCATGGAAAGAAATAAAGAAAAAACTTCCCCAAGAGATAAGCTTCTCGGTCAAATTATGGAAAATAATTGAGTGCATGTTCGATGCATATTTGCATGCTAAGTCATACAAGGACAGGGCTTCCTCATCTGTATAAAGCAGGCATTTTATATTCACAAATGCATGCACATGCTTCCACGCATTTCATATGAATCATTCTCATATGAGACCATAACCTAACCCGCCAACCCATTTTGTATCCCAGTTGAAAGAATACTTAAAAGTTTAAATGTACAACTGCACAGTACAGCAAATCTACCCTGCAGAATGAGGAACTTTAACAAATCAAACCTAAGTTCATAAGTTTCTGTGAGGAAATAAGCATCCTTCACTACTAGTTTTGAATTTGGGTTTATTCCACTCCTTGCACCATAACAAGGACTAGATATACCAAACCTAATTTAGGTGTATCCTAATATTCAAGTTCTAAGTGCTGGTAGTCCCCCTTCTTTGAACTGGTTTGTAAAGCACAACTGTAACGAATTTTGAACGAAAGCGATGAGTGAACCCAAGTGCAACTACAGATCGTGGGCTCTCCCGGTTCTCAATGTAAAGATGATTAAGGGTCACATTCTGTGGCAACGGAAGAGTTCCAGCAGTGTCCGCGCTTGCTGGATAACTAAGTAAGGTCTGTTGCAGATGTGGAGGGGCAAGAGGTGGATCCCGTGCCTCGTCTTCATTCCCAGGGTATACATTGTTGTAACTTGCATCAGGTGATCTTAAAACTTCAAATCCTGCAACAGTTGCTTCATCCTGCATAAAATATTTAAAGGTCGGTCCTTTTTTATTTCAGTAGATAAGAAAATCATCAAGGTTCCGGAGGCTTACATAATCATCACCAAATGAGTTGTTCATGCTGAAACAGGAACTAGCAGCACAATATCATCAACTAAGGAAGACTATAAAGACCTGAAAGACAGTGGTTTATCTTCCATGAGAATCACAGATACACTAGCAGTGCGTCCACATAAGCACACATAGAAGTAGAATTCCACACCAAGGCAACCCAGCAAATTCAATCATCCACTGCAATATGTTAAAAGTCAAGGAAAAACAACAGGATGGCTATGAGAGCTAAGTAACCAATCCCATATACTCTGTTTTAGATGATTGATGCAACCAATTACAACTTAGGGGCCTCAGTATTTTCAAACTCATGACCTTATATAATGAGTTGGCTTAATGGTCCTTAACTTTTCCATGATAATTTGACGTCTTTTACTTTGATTTCCTTTTCGTACACATCTCATTTTTGGGCCATTGAGTGTTAATGAACTGTTATTCTTTCTGATACTAAAGAAATCTAATCAGACATAATTACAAAGAAATCCTATACTATGCACAGTCAAATCCTTTCAGTTTCATTCTTCCATACAAGATAGTGTTAATTTCTAAACTCCAAGGAGTATCTTATATGTTATAATAGAAGAAACAGGTTTTCTCTGTGTCACTACCATGGTGATGTATAACTTCTTTCCAGTCCTAAAGTATCAGATGGCAAAAGAATGAGAAGTTGAAAATAAATCTCAGAGAAACCCACCCTTAACATTATAGAGAAGTCACCATGAACCCTCACTTGCATGTTTACATTCAATGAAAATTAACCAAGTGGACAACATACACTTTCGGAGCTTGCAAAGCTTTTAAGGTAATGTTGTACCCCAGCTCCTATTTCTACTGATTTGTGCAGCTTACCAATCAACACACATAAAATACTCTAAGTTGATGCACTGATTTAGGCTTAAAACATCAAATACATTTTTTCTACTTCTCAATTATAGTATAGCACGTGATTGATTTTCATCTACGCTCTTTTAGCAAATCTTAGCTAAAGTCGACTTCTTCTCGTAAAGTTACGCTGCGTTGGTTAACTTTAGCCTAACACATCAAAGTACTAGGACAAAACTAATAAGCTATTCCAATAATAAAGTTTTTCTACTCTTGAATTTAGAAGTAGACAATGTCAAAAGTAAACAAATAAAATAAGGAACATATATGTCTCATTTGAGTAGCATAAACTATAGATATCTCTCCAATCACATTAATAATAGATAATAAAATTAAAATATAAAGTAAAATAAAATGAATAATAGATCATATAAATTAAAAATAAAGCAAAATCAGTTTTGGTATGTCAGCCTTCCACCATCCACCATCCACCATGCCTCCCCTTCCCTCACCCTTACAACCTCATCCCAGCCTCCCCCCACCCCATCCCCAATGTTGTTTGTTGTTCTTTGTGGAAACATAGCAGTGGTGGACCACTGCTAGAACCAGAACGGCCTCGGGGACAACAATTTTCACGGGTTTTGTTGAGATTTGCATCTGAATCCAGTGAGCCTGCTGCAATGGTGTGGAAATGGGAAGCCATGGGTGAGGCTCTATGCCAACAAGGCTCTCGCCCCATGAATACTCTGTGGCCTCAATATGATCTGTAGGAGACTTCGCGCTTTAGTCAGAGAATCAACTCATTAACGATACAGATAATTAATTTTCTAATAATGAGATTCCTTCTTTTTTTTGGGAACCTTTGGGTGTTGGGGAGTGCTGATTTGTGAAGTGATCTCCCTTGTGTCATGACTCATGATAACTGGTGAGTGAGATTTGATCAATCAAGGAGATAGAGAGAGGAGCTGGGAGACCGGTGGTGGAGGATAGGGGAGGAGGGATGGGGTAGTGGAAGGTCAGGGAGGAGGTGGGGCTGGGGTGGGGTTAGATCGGAAGGGTGGGGCCACGTAGATCTTTCAACTTTACGCTTATTTTATATTTTAAGTTGAAATTTATAATTTTTGAATTAACTAATATTTTTATTAATTTTTAAATGGTTTAAGAATTTATTTTTAACGGTTATTGGATAGAAATGACACCATTAAGTAATGGAGTCAAACAAGGTGACCAAAATACAATTTCGTCCACAACACAGGGGCCAAAAAGGTATTTTACCCAACTATGTTAATCTCTGAAAGATTGAAAAAATAAAATTGGCTGTCGACCTTGGTATACACATCCGCATTTGCAATAGCAGCTACAATTTCAAATTTTTGCAATATAGACCATATTCAATTGCATTGGCCATAAATCTTAATCTATGAAAGACCAAATTCAAAGACCTAAGAATAAATCCAAACTGAAGATAGAACCCCAAGGTCAATATCACATCCCATCCAAGAAAATACCTACCAGATAAAAAGAAAACTGAATCAACCGCATTTTAAAAGTTCCTTAGCCAAAAAAGTTTGTCAAGCGCTTTCCCAGTAAAGTCCCTCCTCATCAGACTTAAACCAAATCAATTCTTGAATGTTTACACCATTTCTCACCCTCTAAAAGTCTTCAAAGGGTGCAGCCAGTGAATAACTCATCACTGGCACAGCTACTGAAATAGGGAGGAAGGGCAAAACTGCAGTCTCATTATACAAAAAGAAGGTCTATTCAAGAAATCACCAGCACATGCCTTCTGCAGAATGTGCAGATTATGAAAATACAAGAAGTACTAGTGTACAGTCAATGAAAAATAAGAACATTTTGCCCTTGGTCAGATAAAAAGTTTTAAAACAAATCTCTCACTGGCTTCCTATTCGCCCAGGTAAAATCATTTCTTTCTCTATTTTGTTTAGGTAAAATCATTTCTTTCTCTATGTTGTTTACAAACAAAAATTCATTCATTCCCAGCCCAGTAGGCATTGCCTCACATGTGCATTGTTAACTGAAGGCTTCATTTCAATTAGGAATCTCTTATGCAGTTAAGAACGGATAATTAGTGGATTCACTTCAATAAAGCAGTTCTTTTCTTTATAGAAGAAACTAAACTATACATTAGGTTGTCAATGGTTGTCTTGTCATAGAACAAACAGGGAGTAGATTGCACTAGAAGGATGCAGACAAAATGACAGAAAAATCCCACACTTATACCGGGACCATGAAAAACACACACACACACACACATTGCTCAAACAAAACCCACAAGCATCAATACCATACCAAACAATATCAACAAGTAATACACTACATGAAAATCGACAAAGAATTTCCATATGCAGTCTCCACATTGTACTTTTGATGACAGTCTCCCTTCATAATTTATATAATAGTAGATTTGCCAACATTAAGAAAGCAAGGCCAACCATACAGAGCTATTGCTGTTGCTCTAAATTATCACCTCTCTCCTATAAAATCATCTTTTTAGTGTAAAACGCAATTGAACTAACAAACTGAATTCTGCAGAACATCAAAACACAAGTAACATAGAAAAGGATCAAAGCACATCTTTAATAGGACTGCATCCAGTATTGGTCTTCCTACCCAAAGATTTTGATAACTAAGAGTCATTTGCAAGAGAAATTTTCATAACTAATAGATAACGGCAAAACATACACATGGTAAGCTCATACCAACAATGCATTCAATATGAATTCTAGCAGACTAAATAACAAAGATTCAACATTCCTAAAAACATGAGGCAAAACATTTAACAAAATTTCAGAACGGAAGGAAGGCCCAAATGATTTCAGAATAAGCGAGACAAAAACAGAATTCTTTAAACCTAACCTATAAATATCCTCAAGAATAGATGATATTCTCTAAAAGATGTATCCAGTAGCATAAGAGGGCAAAAATCAGTAAGATAAATCATATCAAAGCACATGATAAGCGAAAATTTGCTTCATCCGAAACCATCACCAAATATCAATATGCTAGAGATCACATTTCAAAGAAGAGACTTACTGGATTGGACTAAAGCCCCAACCTTCAATCAACAGCTTCTCAGTGCCACCTTACCCTTGAAACCAATATGAACAGCTAACAATTCAATTAATAGCAATATGAACTTTCGCAGACCCTACGCTTATCTGAAAAAATAAAGGCAAACCCAGATGGAATCAAAAGCTACCCATAAGATATTTTACCAAAACAAAACCACCCAAAAATCTAAACGCTGCCAATTTCATGTTAAATCCTCAGAGTAAATGAAAAAACTAAAAGCAGACCGAACCCACTCTAGGAATGAGTTCAATGCGTTGAATTCAGTCCCATATAAGCAGACCCACAATGGGATTTCAAGGTAAAAAGGAAAGTATGAAAAGAATCTGACAAAAGAAAAACCAAACAATTCTTTACCTGGTAAACAGAGAAAAGATTGAAAACTTTAAATTGAGAAAGCTAGAAACGGGGGGCGAGTGTGTTGGTTCGAGGAAATGACTGCACAAGTCCAGCTCGAGAGACTCTCTTCTAGGAGATTCCGCCAAGAGATCCTGACACCAGGCTTGTTTGCTAAGCGAAAACTAAATTTTCAGAAAAGAAAAAAAACATGGTTTTCTTGGCTTTTTTGTTTTTGTTTTTAATTTATAATCTGGGTTTGGGGATTTGAACTAGTTTCTTTAAACTAAGTCACTAGCCAAGTAATTAATCAACAACAAAAAACAACATTTATTGGTTTATACAATTTTTCTCTATATTAACAACCCTTTTTTTAGTAATACTATATTGTATAATGGGTAAATATACTCTCAGTTTGTGATTGTATAGATCTTTTTGTAAGTGCTCTTAAAAAATAATAACATTATTAATTTTGCAGCACATAGTAACAAATTCATGATGGGTATAGGCCAAGAAAATAGTGTGAAAAGTTTGTTAATTAGTCTCTATCAAAAGGAAGAAGAAAAAAAACTTTGCTATTTAGTCTTCAAAATATCCGGATTAAATCATATCAGAGGAAGCCGTATTCACTTTGAGGGGATAGGAGGCCATTGTTCTTCCTCCCCTCTCCCCTATTTTCTTCCTCTATTTACCTCTTTCCCCATTTTCAAAGACAAATGGTTTTCCCAATTTGTCTTCGTTTTATTATGATTTTCATCCAATCATCACATGCGGCTGCATCTCGACATCGAATTTCCACCTGCGTTTCAATCATCATATGTAGGATGAAGGTATTTGATGAAAATCTTAATAGTAAAAGTGAATGTGGTCTCAACGTTAGAGTATTGAGTTACCTGGTTACAGCAAGTGAAACACATTCAACAAATTGGCAAGGATACTTCTCGGTATAACCTCTTCATCGAGTGGAACAAGCATGACCTCATTGGGGAACTTCTATTGCATGAAGTTCTTCGTCGATATTAAGTGTACCTAGTGGGGTAGTGGCGGAGTTAGAAATTTTTTACATAAAGAGTACACCTACTTAAATATATTTTTCTTTACGGTTACAATTGAATTAATTTTTGCTTGATATATACAAAATTCCTAAATTTGAGTACTATACTTTATTATTTTGCATTTCGCACATTAACTATCTACTCATCTTTTTTTTTTTCAAGTATTAACTATCTACTCATCACTATACTAGCAAAAGATATTGACTGAAATTATCAAAATAAGACAAAAAGAGATTTAGAATGGATAGCAATAGTAGAGAGAGAGAGAGAGAGAAGAAAAACATTTTCAAAAAAAAAAAAAAGGAAAAAGGCACTTTGAATTTTGAATGTATGTCCATTATTTAACTCAATGATTTTGCCATTTACTATTGTCACTGAAGATGTATAACGTCACATCACACAAATTCTTTTCATTTTTTATTAGATACCTTGAGTTAAGAAGAAATAAGAAGATAGATGAGAGGAAAGAAATCCTCTGTTGCATAATAGTGAGGACATACTGACGTAACCACTCCAGCAATAATCTAGTACCCAAACTCTGTGAAATCAACCAACTGAATGGCTTCTCCTCCTCCAAAATTAACCCTCAACCCTCATAAAATTAAACCCCCAAAGCTATGAAGTAAATATTCTTTCAATCAACACACGACCAAGAATGAAAATTGAAAAGAAGCAGGAGAAATAGGGGCAGCATACAACCTAAATAAGACCCTAGAAAAAACTAGCCATGCCAACAACAAGGGGGATGACAATGACCTAACCACTTTCCTATGGATTACACATCACAAAAAAATTTATAGAGCAAGTTACTAGTAAACGCATGGAAGATCGCAAACCGCGATAGTTCAAAATGTTCCAAAGGCTTGTGGGGATACTGATATGTTATCTGTTTTGAAGTTTATAAAATTGAATCCAAGTAAGATTCCAAATGAGCCTTTATTTTTTATGAGAATGATTTGTATGCATAGCCTCGTTTATGTTGTCATTTTGAGCCCTTGAAATCTCATAACTGACCCTAGCATGCATCATTTATTAAAATAAAAATTCATTTTATCACAGTTCGAATTTATCGTATTGTTTATATATGGATTTTTTTCCCATTAGACCCATACAAAACCAAGTGACGTGGCAATGGCTATTTGAACACATAGATGGGCTTAGAAGTAGAGAGACCCAATTTTAAAGAAAAATTGAAAGGTGGAGCCCAAACTCCACGGCCGTGACATATTGGACTCGTCCAAAAATAAGCAGGTTCGTCCCAAAGAAAAAGTGGATTGCCAAGCCCAATACCATCTCTACAGTCCATGAGCACGAAGACCGGATACTCGGCCCAAGAATCACAACGGCCCAAGTTCTTGGCCCAACTTAATCTAAAAGTGAAGCTCCACCAAAGTTAGAGCTCGGCGGTTTGTTCCTCAGCCTGAAAAATCTTGGCAGAGTAAAATTGCAGGTACCGACTCTAGAAAATGCATCATTTACCTTATCTTGAGCACATCATAACGTAGAAAGGCAAAAAGAATGATGCGACGTTAGCTAATTTTTGAAACTTGTGCACGCATATTAGAAGTTTTGGAACTCGCTTGGGAAGCATTTGCAGAATGACGAGCCTCGGGACTAATGATCGAGGCATGACATGAGGCCAAGAAGGCGGCTTATGCAATAGTTTGGGCGGTGGCCGACTTTCATGGCAACTTTTGAGGGCGGCAACATTTGCCTATAAATAGGGGACTTACACTTCATTTTTGCAAAATCAACCCAAAATGCTGCTTAAATTTACTCTTAAATCAAACTTAGAATTTTTATTGTTTTCTTAGGATTTCATGTAGCCATATCACCAATAAACTTTTAGAGTTGTTCAAAGTTCTCTTAAGCTTCATCATTGTAACCATCCACATTATATATGTCAACAAACAGCTTTGATTAATCAGAGTCTTGAGCAACATCCAATCCACCCCAATTTCTCATTTAAGGTTTGTCTTAGTCTATAACTCAAAGAGAAATTAAGAGATCAAATTGAAAATCGAACTCTTCATTGAACACAACAATCTTACAAGCACTTGATTAGTGTAGACGACATCAACAACTTTGTTACCAAAGTTGAGAACCCAACGGCTGAGATTGTGTTCCTTACTCGGTCTTAGTCACTCGACGAAATCAGAATCCACGACGCAACCTAGTATTCACACCACAAAACTTTATCATCCCTATTACGGCCAGAAGTGGCAGTGACAGCTAAAACACCTTCACACTCGAACCAAAGGATGACTTTATTACCATCTTCACTCGCCCCTTGATTATTTTATTTTAAATAATCCACGTGTCATGCCAGAAGGTTTTACGGTCAACATGTATGATCCATGGATGGATAATGAGGTCCCCGATCACCCGAAGTTTTAAGGACTGCTTGTATATGCAACTTGAACAAAATTAACAATTCCAAAACCACGCATTCCACTAGCTGGCTTCACTCATACAACCAATCACCTTCATTGAGAAGTCATAAAGGTGGGGTTGCAAGATCATGAAACTTTTGGCAGTATGATTCTATCAAATGTCAAGATTGTTTGGGAAATCAGCAATTTAAATTTTGTTGATTTTTCTATATTTAGGTACCCTACTTATCATTTCAGTCATACAATAAGACTTTAAAAGTTCATGCTAAATATATTGAAACTCCAACAACATAAAATAGATGCAAACCTACCTTTTAAAAGAAAACAAAATAGCGAGGGACTAGAGTCAAGAAGACCATCAATTAGAATAAATCATTGTCAAACATCATATATGGGAGAGGTAAGATGCTAGTTGATTGGCGTTTATGGTTTGAGTATCATATATAAATTTGGACTTTAATGGCTTTCATCAAAATCCAAACCAACCCCACAACAATAACCTAATTTATACACATTTATGCCACCAATTTATCTTCCTCTTATTGTCCTTTTTCTTTAGGCCAGTTTGGATTGATATAGTTCCAGAAGGCACCCGAGTTCTTATAGGACCAAAAGCCTAGCTACCAAGACTTTTGAGTTATAAGCACTTAAATCCCAAGGTCTTTTGTGGCATGGTGACCCTTCCGTACGATTTCCTTGTGCTTTATCACTAGCAAGCAGTGTGCTTCCCATGTGACACCCCCCACCCCTCTACATCCCCAAATGGGGCCATCTCTTCCCCACATCTCCCTTCACCTATCTCTATCACCGGGTACAGTAATCAACTAGAATTTAAGAGCATTTTAATGGAGTCGGGACCCCATCTTTAATGGAGTTGGGACGAGTATAACCTCTGTCTAAGTTTTTATCGTTTACATTGACACTGATAGAGAAGAGATGAGAATGGCAAAGTCGTTCCGACTTACTTCGCCTTATTTTTAAGTATCATCGCTTACAAGGATTTTGTAACTCAAGTAATTTAAGAGCATTTATTATTTTGTCCTTGCACTCAAGGTGTTGAGTTGGATTACTTCTCTTTCTCACAGTATTGCTTAATCAACAGTTCGGTAGCGAGTTTGAGTCTTATGCATGTTATATTTTACCTATCTCTCTATCACTGATAATGAAGCCAAAGTTGGTTTTGGTAATGGAGTTCCATAAGTTCGTATTATACTACCTCCTTATATAAGGTATACACCGTATACCTAAAACACTGCCTAACAATATTCCCTAAAAATTTGGATTCAGAATATCCGACAAGATTCCTCATTTAGAGGAACAAATGTGCACGTTGTGTGATACATAATGTTACATGTATCATGTTTACAATATTAAATTAATAATTGTCAATTACAAAAAGTTTTGAATTTTCACACGTGGGCTAACCCGCTCTGATACAATGAAGGAAGTTGAGGTTCCACCCTAAAACCAATTGGCAATGGGCGGAGTAGCGCAACTTCTTATAAGCCCTTGCAAGCTAGCTCTAATAGATTTGTATATTAGCGCAACGAACATGGAGCTCAAGTGGTTAAGAGCATTTATCCATGCACCTGAGGTTCCGAGGTTCGATCCCCCTCCTCTAATATAGCTTGTATAAATAAAAATAAAAATAAATGTATATTAACTAAAAGGTCTACTTGAAGAACAACGGAAAAAAAGGCCAAGAAAGTTGAAATAACGAAAGGCTCTTTTGGTCATAGACTTGGTTAGAAGCGTGGCAATTTTACGACCCTTTAAATGTCTATCATCTCTTTATGGCAAGCAGCCTACCAGTACCAAATATCAACCCAATAATCAAATCAGAACCAGTCGAATTTCGAATTTCATTCTCAAAACCAAAACCCATCACCACAATGTAGCTTGTGGCCCTTGTTCGCTAGAAATATAATATCTAATTCAATGATTGCAGGCAGCAGTGCAATCTTTTCTGTAAGCTTTGAAAGCAATGATATGAAGTCGAAATTTTAGACCTAAAAAACCCAAAATTTCATAATGGGATGGGATATATCTCAAATTGTGTCTTTGAAAAAGTATAGATCCAATTGATTTCCATTGGTCGCATATCAACTCATAAGTACTAATATCGCCAAAGAAAAAGTAACCCCTTGCTTTGACATTATCATGATCACAGATTTTGTTACATTCCATATTTAAATAATGTTCTCATTTTGTCTTGCAGTTTTACTTTTTTGAAATAAAAAAAATAAAAAAAATACAAGTAATAGTCTAAACTACAAAAGAAGACAGTTTCTTCTCACGCACATTACAAAAGTGTCATGGAATTCGAACATGAAACTACTGATCTACAAGTCAATGTCATTTTTCATTAGGCTAAACCTCGTTGATTGTTGTCTTACATTTTAGTTTATTGAAAGAAGTTATTAAAAACATATAAATGATGAATACTAGCTATCTCTTTTGTTTAGGAACCTTCCTCTTTGTCCTCCCCATTTATAAATTACCATTGGAAAAAATTATTTACTTGTCTTGGCATTACTATCATAAGTTTTTAACAAAAAAAAATTCAAAAAAAAATTCAGAATGCTTTATACTAGTTTATAATACGAAATATTTTGCCCGTATCAGCCATAGGTTCTTAATATGACCTAAACATGGGTCATTGGCCGAAAGAGAAAATAATGGAATAAATAAATAAATAAAGGTTGATAAAAATGAAAATGATCAGTTAAATGTGGTAGCTTTTTTCAGTTTGATGACGAAAGAAGAGGGGACAACAGAATAATTGAAAAAAGGGTAAATCTGCAGCAGCCAGCCACATCAGAATGTACGGACACGGCTACGAGCCCTTCAGGTGGAGGCCTGCTGGGAGGAATCTGTCACTTTTCACGGGATTTATTGTTTTTTTTTTTCCTTTTTCAGGTATAAACGGTGATTCAGTTTCTCTGTCACACACTTTTTTATTTTATGGTTTTCTAATAAACTTGTCGCAGCAGCACTTTCTTGTCAAATTAAATTAAATTAAAGAATTTTTTTTTGGGGAAATAGATGCTTTACTCATTAATAATGATACATGACAGTTATTAGTGGAGACGTAAAAAATAACTTTTGAGAAATATGAAGGGAATTTATTTATTTTCATCGACATTAATATCTTTTTCTTCTTTAGCCTTTCATCCTGCAATATAATTCAGGGTATGTTTGAGGGTAATTTTGAGAGGGTCAAATCACTTATGGGGAGAAGCATCTCTCACGTACTTCTCCATATAATCACTTTAAATGTTTTTAAGCGATTCAATGGAGAAATGATTATTGGCCTATCTAAAATCACTTCCAAACGAGCCCTTAATGATCAGAACAATCCATTTATCTCTCAAAAATTATCTCTACAAGAAACTCTCAATTGGGTATAGTTCAGATTGTTGAGCTCTAATATGAAGGAAATTTATTTATTTTCATCGACATTAATATCTTTTTCTTCTTTAGCCTTTCATCCTACAATATAATTCAGGGTTTGTTTGAGGGTAATTTTGAGAGGGTCAAATCACTTATGGGGAGAAGTATCTCTCACGTACTTCTCCATATAAACACTTTAAATATTTTTAAGCGATTCAATGGAGAAATGATTATTGGCCTATCTAAAATCACTTCCAAACGAGCCCTTAATGATCGGAACAATCCATTTATCTCTCAAAAATTATCTCTACAAGAAACTCTCAATTGGGTATAGTTCAGATTGTTGAGCTCTTCCACCTCCACCCATGTGGGCAAAGGTTCAAAACCCCGAGGCATCCAATGAATATTTTTTTGATATATGTTTACCCATTACCAATTAGTTTTGGGGAGAAACTTTAACTTCATTCATTGTATTAGAGCGGGTTCGCCCACGTGTGAAGCTTGATAGCCACAAGTGCTCTACGTCACTCAATATGTTTTATCCACATGTTAAGCTTGAAATTTCGCTTCACCTGAAGAGGTTGGGGAAAAGGAGCGTGTGATGATGTGAAAAAATATCTCACATCTAAAAGTTAAGGGATGTAATACAATATAGAACTTGAGTTACTTCTTTTTAATAATATGTGGAGATGTAATTTCATAATAACTAAGAACCGACAATAATTAAAAAAGAATGATAATATTAATGAGCGTGGATGCATGAGCCCATATAATAACACCAAGAGGACGCCCTCATCTGCCCAACACCGAAAATAAAGTTAGGGTTTAGTGAAAGATGGCGATGTGTAACTGCGGCCGCATCGGCTCTCAGTACTGTCAGCTCAGCATCCGCCAATCAAATGGCAAAGATTTTAAAAAGTCGACCAATCAATAAAGTTTGGGCTCACCTATGTTCCTAATATATAATCCCAACAAACCCTACATTCGCTTTACCATCCGTGGTTCATGAGCTTCCTAACTCTCATCTCTTTCAAGCACACACACAAAGTCAGGCCTCTGTTTCTTTCTCTGTTATATTGCTTTCTATTTTATTTGTTCTCTCTCTCTAATCCTAATTAACATTTGTTGATTATTTCTAATCAATTTTTTTTCTTCTCTTTCAAACACTGGAATACCAACCGGAATTTTGTCTCTGGATATAATCGTTTCTGCGGGAATCTGAATTTGGTTTCTTTCTTTCATTTTCAAATTGTGTTCTTTGTCGGAATCGATCGATCCTTTCGGAGAAACCTGAGCTGGATATCAAAATCTGTGAATTGTGAACAGAATATATGAAACCTTTATCATTATTATTTTTCTCAAATATTCTTTGAGATTTTTTTATATTATAGATTAGGTAGTACCTTAAAAAAAAAAAAAGAATAGGGTTTTGTTTTGTTTTTTGTTTTCTTCTTGGGTCTAGTTTCAACATGTTAGATTCTTCTTGGGGTACCCCTCTTTACGTTTTGGCCACTGGCAGTAGGCCACGTAAGCTTATTCCTCGTGGACTTGGTGCTATTTAATTTGTACACGATGAAACTAAAATTCTCCAAACTATTCCCTTCACTGTGTTCTTCTTTGAATGTCCTTAATCTTCTGTTCTTCTTTTTTTTTTTTAATCTTTTTATTTATTTATAAATAGTTTATGTATCATTTTCTTGTTAGATTACCTCTTCAAAATCCACAAACACTCGGATCTCGATCGGTACTTGACTCGTATATATGCTTTGATGAAATAAAAAGATTGACAGTCGTTGTTTGCGGGCGTAGCATCATCAAGATTCACGCACATGCAATTAACTTGAAAGTTTCTCTCTTTGCTAAAGTTTCTTTCAAAGTGAGAATCTTGATGATGCTGCATCGGCAATAAACCACTATACAAAAGAGAAGACTCTCTCTCTCACTCTCTCTCTCTCTCTCTCTCTCTCTCTCTCTCTCTCTCTTTCACAGTCTCACAAGTCTTTCACGGTCACACCAGTCGCCAAGGCAACTTTTTTCACTTCTATGATTCCTTGCTTTCGACTGTTAGGTGTGGGTTCTTTTTAAATTTGTTGCTTCCTATTTGTAGGTGTTATTTTCCTTCATTAATTATGGCAGCTCATATCATTGGAGAAGTGTGAGTATGTGTTGTTATATATTGGCTCCTCATTAACTCTGCTCTGCTGACTTTTGACAGATCTGTGATTATTCTTCTGAGAAAAGCTGAGTGATTGAGTCTGTTTATGGAGAGAGAGAGAGAGAGAGAGATAGACTTGAGCCTCGATGATGCTGCAAAGCCTTTTAAAGCATTTTGAAAAGGTGAATATCTTCAAATCATTTATAAATATTTCACATGAAGGTAAATTTTGTTGCAACCATTTTTTTTGGGTCGGTTTTCAGTTCTAGTTCAGATCCACCCATGAACTGTCCGGATCGTTTGGTACAGAATCCAAAAACTATGTTTTTTCATTTCCAATAATGAGTGCATTTTGATTTTAACAACAATATTGGCTCTTTGGTATATAGTTTCTAATTAATAAAGAATCGAATAACTCAGAAACAACCTGTTTTCGGAAGATGCAAAGGTATTGTTTTCAAAATTGAAGAAGCTCACTACTAGAAAATGCCTCCCCTTTCATAAAAGACGGATGCAGAAAGGTGAGAAAGAAACATTTACTGATCTTCTGTAAGATCAGTACGTAGGTTTTCCATGGGATGTGCAGGAAAAGAAACAGTACTAATGATCTTGTGTAAATGCAGCTGAAGCTGAGAAATAATAGAAAGGTGAGAAAGAAGTTAATTTTAATTAGGGTGTGTGTTTGTGTGGGGATTTTGTTTTTCTTTCCTCTTTTAATTTATTTCTTTTGGGGCGGCTGTTTGATGCCTGTTTGAGTGAAAAACTTAACATAATAGTTTTATATGAGCAATGTTCCAAGTGTTTTCGATCTCTAGCTGTGGAATCAGTACTTCATTGAAAATGGGAACTTCGATATGTAAAATCGTGGTGGGAACTTGTCACAAAATGTCACATTGTGACTGCCTGCCATTCTTGTCCTTGCCTCTACACTTTGTTTTGTGGACCAAACCAAGAGAGTGATCATCTCTCCCAACTTGGACCCCTCGACATGTAACCTCACACTCTCCCTTTCATCTCATCACTCCTCTCAAAGACATCATATTATTCACTCCACCTCTTCAATAATACTTCACACGTGACAGTGATAATTCAGACCATGGAGATCTGTGTGCCTCTATCACTATCCATGCCTTTTTGATTCACATATATCCATTATTATTTTTGGTAATTATGAGGAAGAACATAACTCGTGACCTCTTATCCGTTAAGGTAAACTTGTGTACTTGCAATCACTCTAAACCTCATTTGTAGTTTAAATTTGAGTGTCATTACACTCGTGAAGCTTTTGAACATAGGATTTATCCGATTATACATAATGCTAGGACCACTGATTATAATGCAGTGATATATATATGTAATGCTAGGACCACTGGTTTCTTAATATTTACTCTTGAAGTAGGAGGGCCTGATTTCCTGTTTATTAGATAACTTCCATAAGACTAGAACTTTGATGTACTTTGTTTCTCAAACACATTTTAATTCAATATGTTAATCCCTACTTCATTCACTTTGTTTTCTCGTAATCGAATCTGTCATAGATTTCAACGTTTTGAGTTCCAATCATAGCTGGAGTAGCTTGATCATTTGCAAGATTTGAATTTCCAGTGGTGGGTGTTAGGTTTTTGCTCAAGAATGAGTGTTTCTAATATGGCACTGCTCTTAGTCGTCTGAACGCTAAACAGTATTCAAATTGTCGAGGTCCACAAATTATTTTTAGTTATCAAATTAATTTGCCTCTCTTTTCGTTTTGGAGAGGTTTTAAATGCATCTCTGTACTTTACTACTTTAGAATCGTCTTATAATTTATAGATATGTAGTTTGAATTTAGTTTTAACCATATAGTTGCAATTGTACTTTGAATTTGTCTTCCTAACCTCTAGTATTTTACAGAGGCTGGTAGGTGTGGACATCTCTGCACCGGATATTGTAAGAGGACGGTCGATTGGCAGGACATAGCCAAGTTCTTGGCCCTCTCATAGTCCTGTGCAGATGTCCACACTTAAACAGTTTTACACGTAAAATACTTTGAAAACCCTTCATACCCTCATTACAGATACAATACATGAACAGATACAGATACGTGCCGTATATGCATTCATACCAATAAAATATTATATTTTTCCTTACGATTGGATGCACAAAAATACTTTTGTATGGCAGGGCGCAACTTGGCGTGGACTCACATTTGTACGACGTAATGCATGAGAACAAGTGGGGATGCTCTAGAGAAATTTCTGGACAAAATTCTGAGTGGATCTCTTGATTTAATTTTCGTTTGGAAATCAAAGAAGGGTCAAGAGATCCAATTATATGGAAATTATTTAACATTTGGTCCATCTTAAATAACATGTAAGGGGGCATCATTAATCAATGAGGACCACAGATATACAATTAGTAGTTGCTTTGTTTATTCTTCCTTTTTTCATCATTGTATAAAGTTGGTCCTATTTTGTACCTAAATTTATTTCTTGCCAAGGCCCCTCATCATCCCTCATGTTGAGCTAGAACATGAAAACTTTGTCACATGGGAAATTATGAGTACATAACAAAACTATGTCAATCTGTGTGGTTGTATATATTATTGCATAAATGTTGGTAAACAGCAAATGTAATTCTAGCTAATTATGTACTATTGTGATGATCATGATTATCAATTATGATACTAATAACAATGATGACGGAAGATGGAATTATGAAATAAATACATAGAAATTCTATATATCTCCCCTTCTATTGATGGTTTGGATCGTTGAAAAAATTTTCATGGGGAACCCTAAAGGGTGTCTCTCAAATAAAATTATTTGAGGAATCCCTCACCTCAATGGAAGGGGACTGTATAAAATAGGACCTCAATGGTGTTAATTACTAATTAGGCAGTGTTGTCTAATTGAACCTTTACTAATTATTGTCTCATATTATACACCGATCGATATGGTGTTTAGGGAAATTGCAAATCGCACATGGACTTTTCATCTCAGTTCATTCACTACTCAAACTAATTTTTTTTTGGCAATTGACCACCCTAACTTGAAATCCCTGGACGAAAGAAAAACGCAAAATAATTGATAAAAGTCATTTTTGTTAGTGTCAACTCTGCCCTTTAAATGATGAATTAGCAGGAACAATAAACCAACATGTTGTTTAATTGTGTTTAAATATGTTAATTAATTACTTTAATCTCTTTCCAATTCCATGAAAGAAACTAGATATACAAGGTTCATATCAAAAGCAAGTTAACATGACACCTTACAATGTTCGAATGAAGATCCATTAATCTTTTATACATGAATTGATATTCATTTGGTATTAGTAACCAAATCTACAAATCTACGGATTTAGATGATAATATTTAAGATTAATTGTTTGTTTAACTTACTACAATTCATGTACGCGTGCGCCAAAATTTGAATATGAGCCATTTGAAATTCATTTCATATATACTATAATCAGTGGTCCTAGCATTATGCATTATGTATAATTCATGTCGAATCCTTTTTTTTTTTTTTTTTTCAAATACTTCCAATCAAATGGAGCAATACATTTCGGATCATTGAACGGAATATGAAATCATCCAAATTTCTAAGTTTAGTATCTTAGAATGTCAGTCCTTTTTTCTTAATTTGTGAGTTTAACATTAAAACTGTAGTAGTTGTGTTCATGCATAGTGGAAAAGCCCAAAAGCACTAGTGGTCTCCATGGTCGTACAAGGTGGTCCAAGTGATGCCACCCAGTAGGTGTACATGTGGCAGACATGTATGCAACTGAAGGACCATCAAGGGTCGCATGCAACAGATCTCCTTGGACAACAAAATCCAACTATTATTTGTCGTAGACAGAAAATTGTGTTATGTCAGAGGGAGGCATCAGCTCGAGCAATAGGCCTCTTAGGCACCCAATTCGGTTTTCAGCGCTCAAGTTTTGTCAGGGCAAGAGCTGGGCTCTGCTAATCTGGGCAACCCAAAGGTAAGATTACCCTGGACAAGCTAACCTAATATTGATGTCATTGTGACATCAACAAATTGCTTTTGGGTTGGCAAGACAATGGATAGAAAACCAACAAGAAAATTGCTAGGGCAGGCATTATGTGAATAGTAGCAACCCTTGCTCTTTTGCCATGACAAATAGGTGAAAATGCTCTTATGATTCATGCACCAACCTGTTAATATATATATTCAGTGTCCTGCATTTAAATCCTAAATTTGCTCTATAGACCCTTGTTTTTTTATATAAAGATTTTGATCCAATTTTTCCCTTCAACAAGGCTTTAAAAGAAATATCATCTCCTCTGTTGGAATTATTTAAACACACCTGCACTTCAATACTTGCAACAACCAGGATTCAAGTTCTAGAGTTCAATGTGAACAAAAAGAGGGGGACAAAGTTTCGAGTCTGATGTGAGGATGTGAAGTATTTTCCCACATCGAAAAGTTAAGAAATATTGCAAAGGTTTATAAGGAACTGGGTCACTCACTCCATTGCTAGATGATTTTGGGTAAGAATTAGGTCACTCTCTCTTAATCCCTAACAGATGTAGTGCGATTTATCTTTTTCAACATTTTTCTTCTTGGCTAGCTCATTGGAGATTCTAAATTTTAGCTAAGAAGCTCCAATCCCATTATTTACTTCATTTTAGGTAGGTAACAGAAGGGACACATCAAGATTTGAATTTGGAAGGCATCCTTGAATTGTTATTTTGTTTAATTAGAGATGTGAGATTTGAACTTGAGATATTTTTCAATATTAAAATTAAAAAATACAACTAAATCAAAAGCTAGTTGATAGGAATTACAAGTTAATTTTATCTTTGATGAATTGTGTATGTGGCAAGCCAAGTAACTCTACTCTATATTCACACTGCATCACAGTTCAACTATATGAGCAACATATGCAAAAGAAGTTCCCCGTAGCGGTGACATAACTTTGAAGTCTTAGGAATTTTCATTTAGGATTTTCAGCCGTTTTAACTCCTCAACTATGACTATTGTAGAAATTAACCTCCTGAATTACAAAAGCAGCCAATTTTAACTCTGTCGTTAGATTTTATCATATTTCATCCACAATTCTGTCAATAATGTCAAGTGAGGTGCACGTGGAACAAAAGTAGAGGGCAATTTCAACACAACAAGCAACAATCACGTCTTCAATGGTCATATGGCTCCAAGTCAACGTCTTCCATGGCCATATGGATGGACTTCTATAAACGACAAAAGAGAGAGAGAGAGAGAGAGAGAGAGAGAGAGAGAGAGAGAGTTGAACAATTGTGTCTCTGTGTGTAAAACCCCCATTGAACAAGGCCGCTACTATCTCCACTTTTGTGATCCAATCCACGTGCTCGACTTGGACTTGGCTAAACATGTATGTTCCTTCGCATCTTCAAACCACTTCCTCTTCTAAACTGTCTACAATGGTGGGTATGTCGAAACAATTATATGTAATGGTGGAATTTGTGACATTAGGGCTGCTATGTTTTTAATTTGACCCAACTATTAGGGAAGATGAAGATTGGTAGGGATATGGGTTAGAAGGACTATATTGCCCTCCAATTATGTTGCACATGTGTCTCACGTGCCATTTCTAACGGACTTTTGGATGAAATGTGATAAAATCTAATGGCATGTGTTAAATTGGTCATTTTAATTAATTCAAGTGTTAAATTGGCTGATTTTTTAGTTCACGAGGTTAAGTTTGATTGGGGTCCTAGTTCGGGGGAGGGGTCTACAGCAATTTACTCTTTCATTATTTTGCCCATGAAATTGAAAGAAATTAGATGAAGGGACAATATTATTGACAAAAACTGAAAAGTAGAAGATTGCAGTGAAGTGATCCAAGTTTTTGGCACTATAAGGAAGCAAGAAGCAAGATCTTCTTTGGCACCATATGAAAAGAAGAAACAAACTCCTTAGAACATCTCCAACCGATATGTCAAAAGTGCCACATAGACATTTAACAGCTAGAAATAACATCTAACACACTCTAACCGATGTGTCAAAGCTGATGTGGAATGAAGGCTGAAGATTGAGATGTTATTTTTGACATCCCAAAAGCAAGATGTCAAATGAATATTTTTTTATTTTTTATTTTTTATTCTTTTTAATTAAAAATAAATCAACACTAAAATGTAATAAAATAATAATTTAATTTGACATATCGGGTGGAGTGTAAAGCTGTGTCAGATGTCAAATTGCCACATCAGCCATCAAATTTAAATTTGATGTTTGGTATTTGACATCTCCCTTGGAGATGCTCTTAGAGCAGTTCTAGCGGTGGACGGCAGCCCGGGCAAGACAGGGCCCAAGCCCAGGGAAGCGCTTCCAGCGGGCCACTCTTACCAGGGCAAGCTGTGGGACTCACGCAACCGGGCCAGCCCACTGGCCAAACCAGCCTTACCTCTAGCCTGGGTTTGTTGACATTAGTGATGACCAGCCTGACTTCAATCTCCAAATCGAAAATGTCATTCCAGAACATCCTCAGAACCCTCAATACTGTCAAAAGAACACCCGCCAGACCCTATCAAGAATTCATAGAATTAATTTCTAAAACCCCAAAAACTGCAACTTCAAAACCCCTCAATACCACCACCATATCCCTCCTCTCCAAGCTCAAACCCAACTCTCTCAACCTCCTTCTCTCAGACCCCAAATTCAAATGCTCCAAATGCTTGCTTTTCTTCAACTTCCTCCTAAAAAACCAGTCCTTTATCTCATTCAAGATTGACCTCCATGCCCACTTAACCCTCATTTGCAGGCTTCTCAAGGCAAGAAAGTTCACTGATGCTGAGGAAATTTTCAAATGTATCTCAGTTGATGAAAATTTCAGGTACCCTTTTTCTGTTATTGCTTCTGCTGCTGAAATTTGCTGTCTTGAACCTAGAGTCAAAGCGAAATTGTTCAATTTGATGATTAAAGTTTATTCGGATAGTGAAAGTTTCAACCAAGTTTTGGAGACTCTTGATTTTATGAAGAGTAATGGGATTCAAATTGATGAGAGGACTTGTACTGTGCATTTGCTTGCTCTCAACAGGAGAGATGAGGTGCAAAAGGGTTTAGATTTCTTTTATCGATTGCTCGAATCGGGCACTAAGGTCTCAGTATATTCTTTGACAGTTGTGGTAGATGGGCTGTGTAGGGGTGGGGAGATTAAAAGGAGTAGAGAGTTAGTGGAGGAAATGGTGAGTATAGGAACTAAACCGAATATCATTACATTCAACACAATTGTGGATGCTTGTGCTAAGAGATGGAACTTTCCAGAGTTGGATCTGATATTGCTTGTGATGGAAAAGGAAGGAGTGGCATTCGATATCAAGACGTATCAGTTCTTGATTGATGGGTTCACGAGTTCTGGAAAGGTTGAAGAAGCTGAAAGGTTGGTTGGGGAGATGCATGATAAAGGATTGAAAGTGAACACTCATTCATACAATTTGATAATAAATGGCTATTGTAGATTGGGGTCTATGGAAAGTGCTCATTCTTTATTTCGTAAGATGGCTGAGAGAAGTACATTCCAGAACGCTGATACGTACTGGGCTCTAATAAATGGTTTTTGCAAGGTTGGGGCGCTGGG